TGGAGTTCTGGCCCTGCTGGTGGACCTCCTGAGGGTACCTCGGTTTTGGCCACTGTGTGACACAAGAGTGTTGGACTGGATGGACCATTGGCCTGATCCAACATGGCTTCTCTTTTGCCTGGGGCAGTGATTCTTTGTATTCATGGTGCTTGGGGGGCAACAGTGGAAGGGCTTATGGAGTTCTGGCCCTGCTGGTGGACCTCCTGATGGCCCCTGAGTTTTGGCCACTGTGTGACACAGAGTGTTGGACTAGATGGGCCATTGGCCTCATCCAACATGGCTTCTCTTATGTTCTTATGTCTGGGGAAGTGATGTTCTGTCTTCTTGGTGATTAGGGGGCCACAGTGGGAGGGCTTCTGGAATTCTGGCCCTGCTGGTGGGACCTCCTGATGGCCCCTGGGTTTTGGCCACAGAGTGTTGGACTGGATGGGCCATCGGCCTGAACCAACGGAGCTTCCCTTACGCTCTTAGCTACCCTCTGAAACAGTCTACACAAGCCAACAGTGAGCAGCACACTGGGTTGGATCCTGCCGTTCCTTTCCATTGGCAGTGGGGCCCTGTCCTCCGGCCCAAAGAGTCTTTCCCTTGGTGTCGGACTGGAGGAAAGCATCTGTGGGGGGGGGCTCTCCTGGGCTGTCGCTGCTCCCAGTTAGAGTCGAAAAGGAGGGCGGTCGCGTTCGGTCTCCACGCCTTTTCTCACTCCAGCTAGTCCAGCCTGCCCTTCTGGGTTGAGCCTGCCACTGAATCCAAGAGGCCTGAGCTCTAAAATCTTCCACCCCGAACGGAAACCGAACGTAATAACTGCATTTTGCACCCCTCTTCACCCAAAGAGTGATTAACACTTCGAATTCACTGCCACAGGAAGTGGTGGCAGCTACAAGCATGGACGGCTTCAAAAGGGCATTAAATAAGCATATGGAGCAGAGGTCCATCAGTGGCTATTAGCCACAAGGTATAGATAGGGGCTCTGGGGCAAGTGATGCTCTGTCTTCTTGGTGCTTGGGGGAGGGGGGAACAACAGTGGGAGGGGTTCTAGTGTCCTGGCCCCACTGCTGGACCTCCTGAGGGCACCTGGTATTTCTGGCCACTGTGGGATACAGAGTGTTGGACTGGATGGGCCTTTGGCCTGATCCAACATTGGCATCTCTTATGTTCTTATGTTCTTATGTTCCTTCCTCTCCCTGTCGATTTAAGCTTGGGGGCTTTATTTGCATCCGTAGCGGCTGTAAAATGGGGGGAATAAATCTCTCCTGGGAGGAGGGCTACCCGAGGCCATGTATTTGCAAGGAAGTAAAACTCAGTTCTAATCAACAACCATTTTTTTTTGGGGGGGGGGGGTATGCTCAGAAAAAGAAGCTTTGTAGCATCAATGTTTGCTTATATTGTTGTTATGACACTTTCTCCTACCTTTCTCTGACAAGGAAGGTAGCAATGAATTTACAGTCAGTCTGTAAAAAGCACAGCACGTGCTTCTGCGGAATACCTGGAATGACTGCAGTGATTCCGATGCTAACCTCCCCCCTCGACATTTCCAAACAGGCTCTGCTTTATATAATTTACAGGAAGTCAGCAATGAAGATGCCCTTCTGATGTATTCAGAAGGGGTATTTCTTCCTGAGTCACGGGTTACAGCCAGAAATCTGGGATAAAATTTAATGTTTTATGGTGGGGTGGGGGTGGACTAGTACCCCAAAAGCTCTGGACTGTGGAGGGGCTGGTTTCAGAATCTTGCCGGCAAGGACAGCGGCGACATTAAGAACATCAGAAGAGCCCTGCTGGATCAGACCAATGGTCCGTCTAGTCCAGCATCCTCGTTTACACAGTTGCCATCTAGGTGCCTTGGAGGGCCAACAAACAGGGCATAGAGGACGAAGCCTTTGCCTGATGGATTAGATCAGGGGCCCCCCAGCCTTTTTGAGCCTGTGAGCACCTTTGGAATTCTGGCACAGCGTGGTGGGTGCGACCACAAAATGGCTGCCACGGGAGGCAAAGCCAGCCACGACACGCCTGCCGCCACTGACCTTCAGTCACACAGCGGGGATCCTTGGGCTGTGGTGGCAGCTGCTGCCAAAGCAACATTTCTAAAAACCTGCACAGCCAGTCAACTCTCCAGCGGCTGGTCAGAAGCCTTGGTGGGCAAAATCTCCACCTGGTCAGGGAAGGTGTCAATGGATACCGGGGCTCCCACACACCCCATGCTGGGCCCTTAGATTGTTGGGAGTCATTGATATTTCTGGTGTGAGAGCCAGTTTGGTGTAGTGGTTAAGTGCGCGGACTCTAATCTGGGAGAACCGGGTTTGATTCCCCACTCCTCCACTTGCACCGGCTGGATGACCTTGGGCAAGCCGTAGTTCTGATAAGAGCTGTTCTTGAAAAAGAGCCGTTTCTGTCAAGAGCTCTCTCAGCCCCACCCACCTCACAGGGTGTCTGTTGTGGGGAGGGGGAGGGAAAGGGGTTTGTAAGCCGCTCTGAGACTCCCTTGGGTAGTGAACGGCGGGGTATAAATCCAGTCTCTTCTTTACTCATATCGTGTAAATTATATCACACGGCCCTTCACAGCATTGTTGGTTTCAATGGGATCTCTGAACATCCCCCCCCCTCCCCACACGGCTAACTGGTGCTGTTCTGGAGTGAGTGGGGCCCTCAGTCGGCCTGTGGACATCCTGATTGTGTTGTAAATCCCCTTCCCCCCCGCTGCTGCGTGAGGTTTTGTCCTTTGTCTTGGGGTGTCAGTGAGGGGTGAATAAATCCAGGTTTTTGAATGAGAGGCCAAGGCCCCCTTTGCCAGACGCATGCCTTTGGAGAACCTGAGCTCCAGCCTGAAGCTTGTGTTTTTGTCCACCAGACGTGGCGGGTTCGTGCAAAGCGGAGCCCAGAGCCCAACGGTACCGGCAGCCGGTGCGCAAGGTGGCTTCACAGACCAGGACAGACTGAACCGACCCAATGACACCCGTTTCACTCGGCGCTACTGAAGATCCTTCTCCCATTGAACGCGAGAACTTCCATTTGCCGGGGTCATCTCCTTGGGCTCTTGTCACGGAAAGAGTTGAGCCGCAGTGTCCTGTTGTAGCTTGCAGATAATGTGAACTCTGATCCCTCCCTCCCTCCCCATTATGTTTTTATTTGGATACCACTTGTTTGTTTCAGAGGAAGCATTCCATTTTCCATAAATAATAAATCTTTATTGTACTGCTTCCGCAGCAGTGACACCTCTCCCCCCCCCCCCCCCGGCTGATTTGGCGGAATGGTGCAGAATGTTCAGTCTCTGCGGAGCAGTGTGCAGTCCAGTTTCTGGGAGGGCAGGGCGATGGTCAGCCTGGCTGGGAGTAAAACGTAAGAGTCCAGTAGCACCTTAAAGACTTACAGAAATTTGTGGCAGGGTACAACGTTTATTAAAATGTCATGCGGGATGCCTCCTGGGAATCCTACATAAACTGTATTGAAGCCCTATGATAGAAAGATGGTGGTATATAAGTGCAACTTTAAAAAAAGTGACCTGCGAGGGGGAAAAGCACATCTCTATGGCCCTTTAGATCAGGAAATAAAACGAGGACTTACCAGAGAAAGAAACAATACACTTATAATGAAGAAACTGTGCACTGTTGTTGGGAAAGAATGGAGGACGCAACTTTGGTCACCAGCCCTGGTGTGTAGGTCCTGATGGATAAAAGTGGGGTCCTACCGGTTGCCTGCGACTGTACCACTGTGACCATTCATCCGTTCGGGCTTGAAGGCGGCCCTTCACATCTGAACCGAACTCTCCAGAGAGTTCCTTGACTGTAGTCCAGTTTGGGCACGCCAGTCTCTCCTTGGTTTCTCTTTGGCTTTTTGCCGCTGGGCCTGCCCCAAAGGTGGGAGTCAAGGAGCAATATTTTGGGGTGTTGCATCTTTGTGGTTTTTGCATGCAGGAATGTAGGGCCTTGGGGGACCGGTCCCATGGAACACATTTCTGAAGCCGTGATTTGAACCCACTTCCAAGCAGCGTTCGAAGCCACGTGTGAGCAAGTTCGCACCAAAAGCAACCTGTGCTATGCAAGGCCCGGTTCTGCACAATGTCTTACTGTGAATTTAAAGGCACACGATTTTTTCCCCTTCAAATTGCACATCATTCTGCAAGTTTCTTGACTGGCAAATTTGATTTTTACGTGACCCTACCAAATTTTAATCCCCGGGGTGCTGAAAGGAATGGCCTGCAATTTCATTTTTAGGGAAATAGAGAAATCTTTGTTGTCCTCAGTGTAAAGCGGTGTTTGTACCTGGAAGCGTGGGCTGCAGATCGGAGGCCCTGGGTAGAGGGATGGGGCCACTGTCATGGAACACGTGTGGATGGGTGGTTTGTGTGGCCAAGTGCCTTCCCCCCCCCCCCCCTTGGAAACCACCCTCTCCCAGACAACTGTCTGGAGGATAAAATACGTGATCTTAAGCAGAGTTACTGGGGGTGGGTGGGAATAGTTCATCTCCCTTAATTCCCTTACAGTAGCCAACTGAATGTCTGGAAGGCTATGAGCAGAGACCCTTGACAACTAGTGTCTGCAGGTAGACTGCTTCCAAAAATGGGGGTTCCATTTAGCCTTTGTGGCAGTGGTGATTTTCTCCTATGGATTCGTCTCGCCTCTTTACGGAGCCATCTGAGCTGGTGTCCGTCGCCACATCCCACGGCAGTGAATTCTGCAAGTTGATCATGGCAGGGCATGAAGCAGGTCTCTCCTGCCTCTGCCCGGATACCGCTGACCCTCAACTTAATTGGGTGCCTCGGGGGGGGGGGGGCTTTTTTTTGGGGGGGGGAAAAAGGGACATTTCCCCCTTTTGCATTATTTCAGGGGGGGGGCTTTTCTTTGGGGGGGAGAAAAAGTGACATTTCCACCTTCTGCATGATTTCACAAGCCACCGTCATGTCTTTCCTTAGCTTTTTAATGGGGGAGGGAATTGATAAGCCCCAAACTCCTTAACCTTTGCTAGCCTTTACACCGCCCATTTGAACAATTTGAGACTTTACAGCCTCCTCTACCCAGGAGGAGGGGCTCATGGCATGCAGCCGTTCCGGTTCCAGTCTGGGATCTGGGAGGCCGGGGTTCATACCCTGACTTGGCCATGAAGCCCTCTTGGGGACCTTGAGCCAGGGCCCCTCTCTTGTTGTAGGGCCAGCCTCGCGCACAGGCTTGTTGTGAGGATGAAATGTCACGAGAAGGGTCTGTCACCCTGAGCCCCTCGGAGGAAGCGCAGGGTAAAAACGAGCCTGGGAGGAGGCCTTGAGGTGCCTTGGGAGCTTTCCAGCACTTCGAAGGGGGTCTGGCGAGCGGCGGAGCTGTCTGAAAACAAAGCCCACGTTCGGCCCAAGGAGTCTTGCTGCGTTCCAGCCAGGCTGTGGTTTCTGAGCAAGTCTTTCGACGCCAGCGGCCTCACGGGTTCAGATTTCTGTTCTCCCCTGAGTCTCAGAGGGTGACTTTAGGCCTGTCACTCTCGACCTACCTTACAGGGTTCTTGCGAGGAAAGAAGGGGAAAGGCAGAACTGCGTACCACTTGAGCCTCTCGTGTGGGGAAGGCCGCTCGTGCTGGAGGCCAGCACCCGCGGCTTGCCGAATGGATTCATCCTCGGCAGCAGCTTGGAAGACCCCCTTGCCCACGGTGAGGAGTAATTTATATTAATCAGCTGGAGGAAGGGCCGTGGCTTTGCTGCGGGTAACAAGCGGATCTTTGGTCGCCCAGTGAGGAAAGATCTGGGGAGAACTGCTGTTTGTTACAGTAGGTGATGCTGCTCTAGACGGACCGTCAATCTAATTTTACACAGGGCAGCTTCTTGCGCTCAGACGTGCCGAGCAGTTGCTGGGTATGGTGTGCAGGTGTTTAGATGGGAAGGGAGTCTACTGCCAGGTATGTTTCTGTTGGTCCAGCTGAGACCCCTACCCTCAACATGCAGCAGCCCCCTCCTCTAATCCCCGCAAAGCCCCTAATCCTCCCTCCCTCCCTCCTGTCTGTGCAGAACTCCCTGTGCTGTCAGATTATTTCTTGGCTTGATTACTACTTACCTGCTTCAGAGAAAACAAAATCCTTGGTCTCTTGTGCCCGGATTCTCTGCATTTCGCAGAAGGGGAAAGGAGGGCGGGGGACTCTCAGTGGCAGGGAGGCAAATAATTGCACAGCAATTCCCGACCTTGGCAAAATACAATATACCGCCTTCTGTCATCCAAGATGGAGGGTGCTGAAGGGTGTAAGCTGCAGGAAGAGTCGAGCGTTGCGAATGCCTTTATATGATTTTGTTCAATAGGTGGAAAAGATCTTAGGGAGAAGACAGGCTTAGCATTAAAATGTGAGGCAGGCTAAAGCGCTCTCTGCCTGTGAAGCACGAAAGCAGGTTCCTTAGAAGCTACATTCTCAAAGTTCCTAGTCCTCATGGTAGTGAAATGCAGGACAGGTGTATTGGCGATCTCTGCGGAGTTGAGATCCTGCAGGGCTTGGATACCCTCCATGGTTTTTTCCTTGCTCCTTTCCGTGATTTATGGAATTAGAATAAATTATGCAGAGCAGTAAAACTAAAAAAGTGGGATAAAGGATGTCAAATGGGCAGATCTTGGGGTTACATGGTGCAAAGCTGATTTACTGTACCAGAGCACTGTTTTGTGTCCTCAGACCCGGACACAGTCTGAGTTTCTGCTCTCGGACCAGAGATGTACATTCATCTGGAAATTAACGGAATTCCTACCCGCTCTTATTTATCCAATTTATACCCTGCCCTCCATGCTGGAGCATTCAAATTTATCACAAAATCATCTACAAACAGTTCAATTATAAAACAATTCAATATCATAAAATGCTGCTAGCAGTATCTATTTAATTGCTTAACGATGGCGGTACTGTATGAGTGCATTCAAGGATCTAACTAGATGTTCAGCTCATTGATCTTCCCCTGATATAATCGGCAGGCACAGGCTGTGGATGTCAAAACCGAGGGCCGGGGCTCTGTAAGTTTCAGTTCGTGGTGGTGGTGGTGGTGGTGGCGGCAGCTCCTTAGTTGAAGGCCTGGTGGAAGAGCTCCGTCTTTCATTGTAACAAATGACTGAAAATACCAACAACCGAACAAGTACTCATTTGTTACATTAGGTTCACTCTTCTTCTGGCTGACTGTCTTCGTGAGTGAGAGGAGTCAGGGGGTGTGCGCGAGGCTCTAGGCAGACAGGAAGTTGCTTGTAACTTTTTTACCTGAATCCCCATTTTAAGATTGTATTATGTGGTGGCTTTTTACCAACAACACCTCTGCCACCCCCGCCCCCAAACATCCAGTCTGAAGGAGAGGTCTGTGAAGCTCAGTCCTGGTTTGTTAGCTGAGGCTTCCCCCCCCTTCAATGTTGGGTCTAAAGAAAGGTGCTGTGACCAGGATCTCGTCAGATCTCAAGACGCTGAGAAGGGTCAGCCCTGATCGGTTCCTGGATTGGGAGACCTCAAGGAATACCAGGGTCCTCACACAGAGGCAGGCAGTGTCGAATTACCTCTTCTCCTCTCTCGCCTTGAAAGCCCTACCGGGGTCACCATCAGTCAGCGACAGGGGTCATTTCCTGCAGGAGCGCACAGGAACGGAGCTCCAGCAGTAAAGAGCCCAGGGGGCGGGAACATACAACAAGCCCCCCCCCCTGCTCTCAGCAGCCTTCAGTCAGAGCAAGAAGCAGCCAGGTAAGCTGCAGAGCCCCCCCCCCCCCGTCCCCCTGTCCAAAACAGTCCAGTGGCACTTTTAAGACCAAGTTTCATTCAGGTACAAGCTCTCCCTCCTCTGTGAGGGCAGATCTGCACGTCCCCCCCCCCCATCGCTAGCAATCCAAAACAGTCCAGTGGAGCCTGAGTGGTGGGTGTTGCCTTCTGACACACTTCCGGTTATGCTAATAAGTTACGCTAATGAGCTCCTGCACCTCCTTTTCTACGAAATGACCCCTGGTCAGCAGCAACTTGACAGCCCTTTCCCGATGCTCAGGGCTTGGTGTAAAGACTCAGCTGGAGTCTGGACCTCTCTTTGGACGCTTGACTTTGGCTGGAAAGGTGTGGAGCTTTCCAGCCGAAAAGTGCAGACTGAATTCTATTAATAAAGACCCAAGCGGGGAAAACTCCCTTTGATTTAGGAAGTCCGTCTGTTGGATTAATAATGAGGGAACAGCTGGACTGTCAAATGTCCGTAATGCTTTGCAAGCCTTTCCACCGCCACCTGTTACCCCAAATGGGCATAAGCATGTC